TAGCATATTGAGCTGGGGAGAATTAAAATGTATTTCCACTTTTGCAGTCAAATTGGCAAAACACCTATTTTATATTGGCTGCATGTTTCCATTCACATAACATAACTTTAAAAACGATTTAAAAATTGTTGCTTATCTTTTTAGATGAAAAGTTTTGGAAATCCCAGGACTGAAAAATTCTAGTTATTTCTTACTGTCTGAGAAGGCTGTGGTTTGTTTTAAATGATAAGCCGTGTCTGTACTGTGCTGGCAGGTTTAATTATTACTTGTAAACTGCATGAGCAGGACTGTCTGCACTAACAAAGGATTAAAGATCTCAAGGCATTGAATGTTAATGTACTTTAAAAAAGAAACAAAAACCTGTCCCTCAGTTTGTCTCCTCATCTGCATACTCCCATTTATTCTAACCACTAGAAGCTGACTGTAGTGTCCTATGTATAATCCGGCTCCAAACAGCTAGAAAGGTAAGACATTTTTTTTATTATTATTTATGGCTATGTGTATGAATGGGAACACATAACAAACATATAGTGGGAGTTTCTCAAATTTGGCTGTAAAAGTGTACATAGACTTTGGGGTCTACTTATAAACAATTCTCAGGGCCCTTCACCTGTGAATATCTGTGAACATTTATTTTGGTGTATAGTGCCAAAAAATACTGTTCTTAATATATACAGGTGAAACTCGAATAATTAGAATATCGTGCAAAAGTAATTGCAGTAAGTGCTGCAAAAGGGGCCCAAACCAAGTACTGAGTACATATGCATGCTTGTACTTTTCAGAGGTCCGATATTGTTCTATGTACAATCCTTGTTTTATTGATTGCATGTAATAATCTACTTTTTTGAGGTTGTGGATTTGGGGTTCTTGGGGTTTTCATGAGCTGTAAGCCATAATCATCACAATTATGACAAATCACAGCTTGAATTATCTTGCTTTGCATGTAATGAGTCTATCTCATATATTAGTTTCACCTTTTAAGTTGCATTAGTGAAATAAATGAACTTTGCACGATATTCTAATTATTCGAGTTTCACCTGTATTTTATTCCCAGTTTGAATGTAGTGCATTGTAATAATACATTATGGCCACTAGATGGATAAATACCTATTTCCTATGCTCCTCAGCTCGACATAGTGGCCATAATGTATTATTACAACCTACTACATTCAAACTGGGGGAAAATTATATATGAAGGGGCGAAGGGGCCCACAAATTGTTTATAAATAGACCCCTATAAGTGAAAGTTGGACTTTCACTTCTACTCCTTGTCTAGGTGGAGGCTGTGAGACAAAGCAGGAAGAAACTAGAAATCTACTCTATGGGGACATAAAGAGAATTTAAAATATAACTAAACTCAAACATTTTTTGTGATACAATGGTGAGGGGATGGAACGACTGTCATGTTTTTATTGCTGCCTGTGTCCCCATTAGAGATTTACACTATCTCTAATTGTCCTGATCACCAATATCAGCAGGAATAAAAGTGAGACTTATTTCACAATTTCGAGTTGCCACTAGAGCAGGAATACTGGGAAAATCTTCCAATGGGGACACGTGTTGCCCAAAAAAAACTATCTAGGAAAATATATCACTCTCTCTTCCTGTTGAGTTTACAGAACAGGACGTAAAGGTAGATCTTCGTAATGAAAAATAGATGGAAAAAACTGACAGTGGTTTTAACCCTTCCCTCCTCTATCCAAAATGGGGGGGAAAAAATCTGGCTTTAGATATGACAGAGGATCTCCTTCCACACGCTGTCCAATAGTAAATTTACATTTTTTTTTATAGCATTGTCCCTTAAAGTGCAATTGAAGACAGAACGTTTTGTTTTGGATAGAGTGGAGAGGGATTAGAACCCCTGTCTGCTTTTTATAGCTGTCTGTGTCCCCATTAGGGGGATTCACCCCTCTCTACTTGTCCTGGTGACCATTATCACTGAAAGTGAAAGAGAATTTTGGTTGTCATTAAAACAGGAATAGACGGGAAATCTTCCAGTGGAGACACTAGTTCTGGTGACCCTGCTGACCACTCACTTCCTGTTGTGCCCATCTCCCCAGTGGGACACACAAAATCTGATAGGGGTTATAACTCTCCCTTATCCAAAACTTTTGGCTTCAGTCCTACACTAACGTACAGGAATGCACTTTGTTCATGTTTCTGCACTGCACAGACATCCCGTGGGCCCTCCTTATGTCAGGGAATACTAGTGATGCTCCTGGAACCGCCAAGATCCAACGACTGAAAAAGGGTGTCTGCTGCTCCTGCAATGATTATACCGAAACTCTATGCTTCATGGGTGATAATAACTCTGCCCTGTGACTGAATGTCCCCAGCATTCCCTTGTGTTTGATTGCAGGCTTTGCAGCAAATGTCAGCGACTATGATTGCTGCTCGGGTCGCTGAGACCTGCGATTACTCAAAAGCGCAAAAGAGCAAAGTGCAGTACTATAGTTATTCCAAATTTATTGCAAGTCCCAGTAATCCGTATTGAGGTCATATTCATTTGCATATAATGCAAAACCACAGAATAGAGGCAGCAATGACTGATTGTGCAGAACACAAGATTCACTCGTATGCGGAAGGAAAACAGGTTTAATAAGGAGCATAATATTTCGTATGGATTGCGTAGTCATTGCATCAGAATGGCTGTATGTGTCTGAGTACTTTTCACGTTTCTTCTTGCTACGATATAAAAGAGTCATACAGAAACAAAACCACAGTATGGGTGTACATCTGGGCAAATGCCACGGAGCTGAGGAGCAAAGAATGTCCCTATGCCACTCAGCATCATTTAGATGTGTATGCACCACGGCACATCATCAGGAATAGACAGCCCCTGATAATGTGTATGCACCGTGGCACGTCATCAGGAATAGACAGCCCCTGATAATGTGTATGCACCGTGGCACGTCATCAGGAATAGACAGCCCCTGATAATGTGTATGCACCGTGGCACGTCATCAGGAATAGACAGCCCCTGATAATGTGTATGCACCGTGGCACGTCATCAGGAATAGACAGCCCCTGATAATGTGTATGCACCGTGGCACGTCATCAGGAATAGACAGCCCCTGATAATGTGTATGCACCGTGGCACGTCATCAGGAATAGACAGCCCCTGATAATGTGTATGCACCGTGGCACGTCATCAGGAATAGACAGCCCCTGATAATGTGTATGCACCGTGGCACGTCATCAGGAATAGACAGCCCCTGATAATGTGTATGCACCGTGGCACGTCATCAGGAATAGACAGCCCCTGATAATGTGTATGCACCGTGGCACGTCATCAGGAATAGACAGCCCCTGATAATGTGTATGCACCGTGGCACGTCATCAGGAATAGACAGCCCCTGATAATGTGTATGCACCGTGGCACGTCATCAGGAATAGACAGCCCCTGATAATGTGTATGCACCGTGGCACGTCATCAGGAATAGACAGCCCCTGATAATGTGTATGCACCGTGGCACGTCATCAGGAATAGACAGCCCCTGATAATGTGTATGCACCGTGGCACGTCATCAGGAATAGACAGCCCCTGATAATGTGTATGCACCGTGGCACGTCATCAGGAATAGACAGCCCCTGATAATGTGTATGCACCGTGGCACGTCATCAGGAATAGACAGCCCCTGATAATGTGTATGCACCGTGGCACGTCATCAGGAATAGACAGCCCCTGATAATGTGTATGCACCGTGGCACGTCATCAGGAATAGACAGCCCCTGATAATGTGTATGCACCGTGGCACGTCATCAGGAATAGACAGCCCCTGATAATGTGTATGCACCGTGGCACGTCATCAGGAATAGACAGCCCCTGATAATGTGTATGCACCGTGGCACGTCATCAGGAATAGACAGCCCCTGATAATGTGTATGCACCGTGGCACGTCATCAGGAATAGACAGCCCCTGATAATGTGTATGCACCGTGGCACGTCATCAGGAATAGACAGCCCCTGATAATGTGTATGCACCGTGGCACGTCATCAGGAATAGACAGCCACAGATAATGTGTATGCACCGCGGCACGTCATCAGGAATAGACAGCCAGTCACTGATGATGTGTATGCACCGTGGCACGTCATCAGGAATAGACAGCCAGTCACTTATGATGTGTATGCACCACGGCACGCAATCAAGAATAGACAGCCAGCCCCTGATGATGTGTATGCACTGCGACACGTCATCAGGAATAGACAGCCAGCCCCTGATGATGTGTATGCACTGCGACACGTCATCAGGAATAGACAGCCAGCCCCTGATGATGTGTATGCACTGCGGCACGTCATCAGGAATAGACAGCCAGCCCCTGATGATGTGTATGCACTGCGGCATGTCATCAGGAATAGACAGTCGGTCCCTGATGACACAGATACAGCGTGACACGTGATAAGGAATACACATTCGGTCCCTGGTGACACAGATGCAGCGCGGCACATGATAAGGAATACAAAGCTGCCCCCCTGTGATGCACTGTGGCACATGTGCCATGGAGTACCTCAAGGTCTCATGAGACGCATGAGGTGGGTCTCCCAGGAGGCTGTTGGCAACTAGGTGAGAATGACGGACCTGCTAGGAGCGCTCCCCAGAAACAGATAAAATAAAAGTCTGATTCTGAGAGACGGGGGTAAAGTTCCACTTTAAACTCATTTTGATGTCTTTTTTGCTATCCCTGTGAGGCCCGGCCTTTCCTTCTCTATACTCATACACACATTGTGAGTTGTGTCCTGTTGCAGTCACACAAGCAGAGTTCGGATACATTGTGGTTGATAGTAGAAAACCCCGGCTGGTGTGCCAGGCACTCAGTAGCAGCTCAGCCTGCAGCCTGTCCAGGTCATGCCGGAGACAGCCATGTAAACAATGCGCTGCCATTGTGTGCCGAGCCTCCCTCCACTCCGGACAAGTTTGTTATTCAGTGTGTGCTAGATTGCAGAGTTTGGCTGGGAGTGAAAGTGGGAGGGGCTTGCGGGAATCGGGGCGGGGCCCGCCTAACCTTGCAATGAATCTAATGCTTTGGAAGACACATGCCAGGTAGCTCGGCGTATGTCACTGCACACTATTCGCCTTCACATTGGCTGCATTCGCTTTATCGCCGCACTGTACACACGGCCAGGAGGATAGTCAGTCACCACACAAAGACAAGCTGCATCCATACAGCATGATGAATGGATTCCCCTCCGAGGAGTTACCCCGGGATAGCGGGGGAGAGGTCACCTCCCCAACAGCTGCGATCCCCGCCGTGGCCCTGGGGCCCCTGAACGGGCAAGTGTGCTGCCTGCGGGACGAGGGGGAGAGGTGTACCCGGCCTGCGGGCAATGCCAGCTTCAGCAAGAGGATCCAGAAGAGTATTTCCCAGAAGAAAGTCAAGATAGACCTGGACAAAACAGTGAGTGCTTATCATTGTGTGTGTGACAGGCACGGGGCCACTTGTGTATTGTGTAGTTGGGGCTCTGGGATGCAGTACAGACAAGGAGGAGAGGCCAGCAGACGGGGAACAACAACAACAAACTAGTCAATTCATCCGCATTGCATGAGTGATGAGATCAACACACATACACTGCAGAAAACAATGCAATGCCTCGACCACCCGATCACACACTGCAATGCCTCGACCACCCGATCACACACTGCAATGCCTCGGCCACCCGATCACACACACTGGAATGCCTCGGCCACCCGATCACACACACACTGCAGAATACAATGCAATGCCCCGATCACACACACAGCTGCTTCCTGTCATTTGAAAGTTCGTGCGATGTGTGCTGCGATGACGGCAATGCCCAGTGCTGGGGACGAGCCATCGTGTCGCTGTGTTGAATGGGAGCCGTGTACTATCGTAGTGTGAGCAGTGTAAACAAGCTGCATGGACTTTCCTCCCCACCTTTGTCTGGATCAGGTGTTGGGAAACACTTTGCTTTTGCTTCTGTTCGCTGCAATCAGTCAAGTGGCAGCTTGTTCCCTGACAGAGGCAGAACAAGTGTTAGGAGGGAGCGGAGGACATTCCCCGGACACAACTGACCGCTCACTGGCGGTGTACAGCGAACAGGAAGCTGTACACGCTGCGTGCCATTGATTGTATGTGTGAGTGACTTCTATCCAGAACAGTGTGTGTGACTTCTATCCAGATCAATGTGCGTGTGAGATTTCTATCCAGATCAGTGTTTGTGTGTGTGTGTGACTTCTATACAGATCTGTGTGTGTGTGAGAGATTTCTATCCAGATCAGTGTGTGTGACTTCTATACAGATCAGTGTGTGGGTGAGACTTCTATCCAGATCAGTGTGTGTGTGAGACTTTTATCCAGACCAGTGTGTGTGCTGCCCGACAGGACTGTGTGGTGTTAATGTGTACACGGCTCCTACACCAGTACAATGACCGGGGTGTCCTCTGTGTACACGACTCCTACACCGGAGTTCATGGACTGGGTTGTCCACTGACACACAGGAAACATCACGGCTTTACTGTACCACTCTCTGCTTTTATATTATCAGCACTGGGAGCTCTGGCTTGTCTTCCACAAAGACATGACATTTGTGGAGGGTGCTAGTACTAGAAGGCATTCTGGGAGTTGTAGTCCTTGGCTGAGCCTTGAGGAAGTTGGATGTGGAGAATGAGAACAGGAACTTGTTTTGTCTAGAGTGTGCCAAGCCTGGATTATTGGGATCACACATGGCTAACCTTTTCTCCAGATGAGGTTTTCAGTTTTTATCATCTCACATAGCCTTCTGCAATGTGATTTGTGAAGTGAGGGTGTTTTCACTATATCCACACACATTGGGGGGAATTTATCAAAACTGGTGCAGACAAAATGTGGAGCAGTTGTCCGTGGCAACCAATCAGCTTCTCTCTTCAGTTAAGCTTTGAAAATGAAAGAGAGAAGCTGATTGGTTGTCATGCACAGCTGCTCCAGTTTTGATAAATTCTCCTGATTGTGTCCACAAATAATCCTGTTTTATTTAGAAAAGTTCAGTTTTGGTACGTTTCTTTTTTTTGAAACAGATGTGCTACAAAATGTCAGTGAAACCAGTCAGGGATTATGGTTATAACACTTCATGGGATAGATATATGCATTGGTCTAGCAAATCTCAATTTAATGCATTGATGTTTTAAAAGGCCAAATATTCAAAAACAATTTTGCATATGGTTTAGTGTTTCCTAAATATTTAAACCACTTTTCTGAATGTATTTTGACAGGCACCAATTTCCTGGAAGGTTCAGCAAGCAGGAGCTGAGACACTTTCCAGTACAAGCATCAGACGTTAGATGTCAGCAGCGTAGTCAGTACAGCTTGGACATTGTTTGGTGCCCGGGGTTATTATGACTGGTGTTGCCACCTGGCGGGTAGAAATGAGACTAGTTGGCAATATTATTATTATTAGGAACTAGATCATACAGCCGATATGTTTACTAGAAAAGGTGACAACCTTTGTTAATACTTCTTCTACACTCTAATAAAATAAAGGTCTATAAGTGCACATGCCTTACAAATTAATACAAAGTAAAACATATTTCAACACATTGTCAAAACATTTAAGTGTGACTATAGGTAAAATAAAAAGATAAACTAACCCCCCCTCCAGCTCTCCACTGCACTCATCTGCAATAATGATTACCTTCCACTGCGCACACTAGCCCGTGAGAGCTTGTTCACACCATATGTAGTGTGTTCCAGCGCAGTTATCTGCTGGAACGCACTGCATCGCATGGTAACCCCCCCCTGCGTTCTGGGGCCAGAGGGGGTGGGTTGCAGTGCCTGCGCTGCATGCACTATTTATTCCAATCGCACTAGACCAGAACGCAGACATTGTTGTGCCTGCATTCTGGTGTGGGCGATTGCACTGAGGGTGGGGGCATGGCTGTGGTACCATTGACTTCAATGCACCGCCATGCCCCAGAACGCAGGGGGAGTTTACTATGCGATACAGTGCTTTCCAGCAGCTAACCGCGCTGGAACGCACTGTATATGGTGTGAATAGTCTTTCCACTTAAATACTTTACTACATGGCCCCCGGAGGCTGTATAGCAACATAATGCTTGCAATGGGTGGGCAGCCATTGGTCAGCATGAGCATGTGACTGTGCTAACCAGTAAGAATTCTTCTAACATGCCATTCCAGAAGAAAGGCTAAGTAGAGATTCTCAATGGTCAGTGCGGTCATGTCAACCAATGAACGCACCCTATTGCAAACATTTTTTGCTATACAGTCTTGGTGGCTGTGTAGTGAAGTACATGCACCCTGTCAAAATACAAATGCTATTCAACTTGCTTGTCACGCTCCTTACCGAATATCTGTGTAATGAGGGGATGCTCGTAGTGACAGCGAATGGCACCGCCAGTATCAGCAAATGTATATAGATGTCCCCAGCACACCCAAATCCTTTCAGGATTACAAAACGTTCATTTTTTTTGGAGATTCTTGTCATAAAACAAGCGCTTTGGGGGCCGCACAGGGTCCCTTCATCAGGCTTAGCATTGACCCCCCCTGAGCTGTCGCTATGTCAGGAAACGACCCACTGAGAAGCCGTGTCAGGTAAAAAAACAAAAGTTACCACTATATTGTTCTATTGAGAGCGGATATATATCTACATTGTGATTCGAGGTTGTTATCTATCATCTAAGAAACAGGGTAAACCTAAGTTAGTATTCAGGCCCCTGGGATGAATGGTGTCTAGAGTGTATATCCAGTGTGCCTCATGATGGAGGAGCTGTTTAGTTTTGTCTCCCCTTCTCGGATGTCTACAAACATTTTTCTATTACCATGCCTCTCAGATCATGTGTTTGGTGTTGTTTCTGGACAAAATGCAGCACCACAAGTTTATTAGCATCTAGTTCTTCTCCTTTCTGAGCCTTTGATATTGCTATGCGAATATCGCTTCTGTGCTTTTGAAACCTGCATTTGAAAGGACCCGTTGTCATGCCCACATAAACCATTGAACACGCGCACTTGATGATATAGACGCAAAATTCAGTGCTGCAGGTGAAAAGGCCAATGCTAAGCCTGATGAAGGGACCCTGTGCTGCCCCAAAAGCGCTTGTTTTATGACAAGAATCTCCAATAAATGAACATTTTCAGGGTTGTTCACAAAAGGGTGAAGAGTTTGGAGAAGGCCGGAGAAGTGAACAATCTAGGACAACATAGCGGATTTGGAAACATTCTCCAATTCAGCTCACTTTCCAGTTCAGCTATATTGCCCTAGATTGTTCACTTCTCCTGCCTTCTCCAAACTCTTCACCCTTTAGTAAATAGCCCTGTTTGGTATGCGGGTGACATCTAGATATGTTTGCTGTCAGAATACAAAAGACCATTGGGGGGATTCCCCTTCCATGTAGTTTAGTGTGGATGGGGAATCGAGAGGAAAACAAAAACCTCCTTGTGGGGTCAGGCTTCTGGTGAAAAGGTGAACCAACCCTTTAAAAACCCATATATAATGTAGACTGCCACTAGCATTTACACAGCAGTGTTTGTTTTTCTGAGCCCCCTCGCCGCCAACAGTATTATTACGTAAAGATCCTGCCAATCGATGTGTTATTTTTCCTTGAACAGTAAAGGCTCATTCACACCGTAAGTGATGACTGACTGTCATTGTGCAGCAACTGAACAACACTAGTCACCTTTAGGACACATAGAAAACACATGTTTTCTATGTGCCCCGTTCACACAACAACCGGGCTAGGATGTGCAGTGCAATAAAGAAACGATGCAGACATGCTGCTTCCTTTTTCAGCACACGGTGCCTCACTGCAGGCGCATATTGTACACTCCAAATAAAATTAAAGGAAACCGTGTGATGTGCTGAGACAGCTTATCAACTGCCCATCTGCTCGACCTGTCGCCACACCTAGTGTGAGTGAGCTCTACCAGGCCAAGCTATCTACCAAAAGAGACAGTTACATGTCCAGAAAGTCCCTGTCTCAGCTGCTAAGGCCCCATTCACACTGAGCGATTTATCGCGCAATTTTTGCAGCGATATCGCTCATATTTCCACGTGATATCGCTCTATGTAGCTTCCCCAATCCATTTCAATAGAGCTGTTCACATCTCGCCGCTCAATATCTGTTGTTGTTGGTCGCTGTAGCTTGTCGCTCCTACATGACCCTTTTTTCTGCGGATTTCGAGCGATTTTTGCTCCTGATTGCATACAGCCCAATAGGAAAAAGTCGCGCAATAGCGCACGTATAAAATCGCGCTGTGTGAATGGGGCCTTAAAGGGGTTCTAAACCCTCCGTTTTTTTTGCTTATATCTACTGCTAGCATGCAGTAGATATAGGCAAGAAGTGTAAAAAAAAAACGTTTAAAATCATTTTAAACTTACCTCGTTATCGCCGCACGTTCCCGCGCCGAGAATCAGGAACTGCTCGTACGGCCGCAAAGGATCTTGGGGCGGGCGCATGCGCAGTTCCGATTCTCGGCTGGGAGACGAGCAGGGACGCAAGGTAAGTCTATGGACGCGTGCACCCGCCTGCAGACACCGCTGGATCGGAGAGACAGAGCAGTCAGCGCTGGATCGGAGTGACGTCACACCGCTGGAGGGACAGATGAAAACATGGGGAAAGAAGAGGAAGATCGGAAAAAGAGACATCATTTAAGGTAAGTGCTAACATTTACATGGGGGGGGGGAGAGAAACATTTTTTTGCCTTTTAATGTCAGAGCAGCCGTCAGTCAACCAGCAGGGGGCATTGACTGCAGTGGATTGGACGAGAGCACAGTGAGACCACCGTCCTGCAGAATTGGGAGCTGGTATACACCGTGTAAAAAATAAATACATTTTGGCATCAGAGAGAGAGCGAGAGCAGACCCTGGCAGGATCAACAGGTGTTTATGAAACATTGACTTACACCATAAAATAGTGATATCAAAAAATGAAAAATCTTGCAGAAACATGTTTACAAAGCAAAAGGGAGCTATTTACACAACCTTAGTATTTGTGTTGGTACACTTCTAGCAATTGAACCAACTGTAACAGAGAATGTTTAGTTCTGTAATGTGTACATGCTCATGTGGCGATTCCTGTACTTTCCACTGTCTCATTTGTCAGCAGTCGTCTGTTACTTTGTAGTCACATACAAGGGAAAATGTTACATTTGTTGGAATAATATGCCATGGCACAGGTTCTATCATGTAGTATTGCTACTCTCTCTAATCAAAGTTTAATTTTAGTATATTTGCCAGTGATTGGACAACATAGGGGTCTCGTGTCTGAAAAGCTTGTTATTCACATTATTGAACTCCTTAGGTTACAATACAGAGCCGAGTTTTTGGGCCATCGGTGTGCTCCACACTAAAGCTGGCCATACACTGGTAGAGTTTTATGGAAACCGTCATGTGAAAACTCTTGTCAGAACATTTGATAATATCAGAGACCTTTTAGGATATCAATCCAAATTTCACTTTGCTTTTAACATTTGATTTTTGGATGAATGGAGCTTCTTCAATGAAAATCACATTTACTGTTAGAATGTTGTTCCTTCAAGAAAAATTGACCATTCCATTTTTTTTTTCATCACTAGGATCAAAATCGATCGTCAATTTGACCCCATTAGAAAATCTAGTGAGCTCTCAGAAAATGAATTTCTTCAAACGGATTTTACTGGTGTATGGCCAGCTTATTTCCATTTTTGCAAACAAATGTAAGAAACCCCTCTATGTTTGTTATGTGTTCTTATTCACACAGCACACCTAAATTAATTTTTACAAATCTATTTCTTAATTGTTTAGATGTTTCTTTAGTGAAGTCCTTTGTGCAGATTGCAGGCTATTCTGAGCAGTGTGAAAGTAGAGGGACAAACTGAGGGACAGAGTCTTAACCCTTTGTTAGATCAGGCAATGTTCAGATCTAGTTTACAACTAATAATTAAATCTGCTAGCATGGTACAGACACGGTTAATTAGAGATGACTTCTCACAGCCCCCTCAAGGTGATGCTTCCCCGTATATGTAATGTTAAAGTGACACTAAACTCAGGTGTTGAATCTTAAAAATGCATTCAAGTACTTTAACTATTAACAACAATGTCTCTTATTTGTGTATCACTCGGCTGTAGATCCTCAAATCATCTCTGAATTGGAGCTGACACGGTCCTTCCTTCTGGAGGGTCGCTACTTTTGTTCCCCTATGGTGTGTGTTGTAAACTAGCCACCACTCCAAGTTTATTACCATGATGGACTACAATCTCACGTTTTAGTTTACTAATTTGTATTGAGAGTGTAGTTCATCACAGGAATGAGTGAGGAGGGAGCTTGAGGCTAGGTTCACCCCTAGGCGACACCCCACCGCATATTGCCGCATGGTCAGGAGTCGTTCATGGTGTGAATCGATCGCGCTATGGGTGCCATTATTTTCTAATGGCATCCCAGTCGCGCCGGACGGATCGCGCGTCGTGTATCTAAAAAAAAAGGTACACGTACCTTTTTTCTGCGATTTCCGTGCGGATGTCACCCCATTGAAATCAATGGGGCCGGGTGGCAATCGCTGCCTGCATTGTGCAGGACCACGCGATCCCGGGACTCGAGTCCCGGATGTCGTGTGGTGTAGTGCAGGTGGGAACCTAGCCTAAATTTAGACATGATTTGAGGATCTACAGCTGAATGATGCACAAATAAGATACATTTGTGTTAATAGTTAAGGAACTTGAATGCATTTTTTAGATTTAACTCCTGACTTTAGTGTCACTTTAACATTACATAGGGGGAAGCAAGGTAGGATTTTTAAGAAATTAAAAAGACCTTAAAATATAAGCAGAACATTTTTAATATATACATTTTTTTTTTAAGCTTATGCTATGTGAATGAGAACATGTAACAAATATAGAGTAGGTGTTATCGCAGTTTGGCTGCAAAAGTGGAAATACATTTCAAGGCTATTTCTGATAGATTCTGTTTATAATATTTGTATGCCTTAGAAAATATGACAGAAATGTAAAACAACTAAGAGTTGGTCGGGAAATATTTTTATACCAGCTGTAAATACTGTGCTAGAAACACCTACCATTATAAGATAATAAAGGTGGCGTTATTAACTCGCTCGTGGTAGCTGTGCATGGGGAGATCTGTCAGCTTCCATATGTTTATTGTTGAGTCATATCAGACCACTCTTATTCACTGTAAGGTTAAATCAATGGAAAGTCTTTAGCAGTGCTGTACAGTAAAGCAGAATTCCACCCAACTTCTTTTCATTTATGTGAAGTGAGGACAAGTATGACCCCTTGGCAGGAGTTTTGCTGTTACCTCAGTGCTGTTTGGGAGATCTTCTCTAATCCCAATTGTTGCAATACAGCTTTAGATCTGGTGAACGTGTTCCTCTATGGAGTATATCCTCCACATATTCCAATTCACTAATGGGGTGAGCAGTTTGTGAACAGCCAACAGTGATTGTGGCCCCAGTGTATTTCCAGAAGTAGCAATCCACCTGTAATAAATAGCCTAATATACTTTTTATTTATACAGCATACATTTTCTCACTTTAGGCAAGGCATCTTTATATTTGCGACTTCCACAAGAACTTAATTCAGAGTGTAAGGAACAGACGGAAACGGAAGGGTAGTGATGATGATGAAGGAGACTCCCCTGTCCATGACACTGACACTCCAGAGGTATACTTTTCAGATATCTCTTTTTATCTACATGTGCAGTCATCGGTGTACTATTGTGAAAGAATTGTGTAATCATTGCTGTCTGAAATGTGTGCAAAGCATTATAGTTTTGTATTTGTAGCAAGCCTTCAGAAGACAGTTAAATTAGACATCTGAAAGTGCCCCATATTTGCCTTTAAAGGAGAACTATGGGGTCAGGGCTTTTCCCCATAGTTCTCCTTAGGGTAACGGGAGGACACAATCCAGCCCCTCCCCTGTCACGGCAGAGAGCCGTGACAGGATCGAGAAGTGAGCGAACGCCGGTATATGTTCGCTCACCTCCCGATCTACTGAGCCGACCTATGACAGTCTCATTGTCACAGGTCGGCTAGAAGCACTCACCTCATAGTTCTCCTTTAAGGTAAACTGGCTTTCCTCTTGCTGTCCCTTCTAACAGTCCCTGTACATATAGGCTCTTCTACATTCTTTTTGTTGCTTGCTATAGAACTGCAAAATAAGATAGGAATCACTAGATGGCGGCTGTGAAAACTCTTACTGGATACAGTGACATCATCCCTCCTATCTAGATTGGCTGGCACAATTATTTTTTCTATTAACCAATATTACAAAAATAATTCCAGCCAGTAGGTAAAAGAAAGATGACAAAAATAGGTAAAGTGGAATATCTAGGGCAGAGATAGGCATCCTTGGCACTCCAGCTGTTGTGGAACTACATGTCCCATGAGGCATTGCAAGTCTCTTTAGCCACAGGCTGGGATTTGCAGTTTCTCCACAGCTGGAGTGCCATGGTTGCTTACCCCTGATTTAGAGGTTGCTAGAGAGCTGTGATGTAAGAGAAGAAGCAACAAAGAGCTTACAAAGAGCCTCTTTGACAATGTACTATTAGATAGGGATAACGAGGCATTGCATGGGTCACTTTAAATGTTGATTTTAAAAGGAAAATTAATTTCATGTTTCACCTCTCCTTTTAAAAGTGCGTGCATTATGTGTTTTTAATGCTTTTTATACACTATATTACAAAAGTATTGGGACATCTGCCTTTACACGAACACATAGTGCACAGTCATGTTGGAACAGGAAGGGGCCATCCCCAAACTGTTCCCACAAAGTTGGGAGCATGAAATTGTGCAAAATGTCTTGGTATGCTGATGCCTTAAGAGTTTCCTTCACTGGAACTAAGGGGCTAAGCCCAACCCCTGAAAAACAACCCCACACCATAATTCCCCCTCCCCCAAACTTTACACAATGCAGTCAGGCAAGTACTGTTCTGGCAACTGCCAAACCCAGACACGTCCATCGGATTGCCAGTCAGAGAAGCGTGAATCGTCACTCCAGAGAACACGTCTCCACTTCTCTAGAGTCCAGTGGCGGCGTGCTTTACACCACTGCATCCGACGCTTTGCATTGCACTTGGTGATGTAAGGCTTGGATGCAGCTGCTCGGCCATGGAAACCCATTCCATGAAGCTCTCTAGGCACTGATTTTGTGCCAATCTGAAGGCCACGCAAAGCTTGGAGGTCTGTAGCTATTGACTCTGCAGACAATTGGCGACTTCTGCACACTTTGCGTTCAGCCCAGAGCCCGCTCTGTCATGTTACGTGGCCTACCACTTCATGGCTGAGTTGCTGTTGTTCCCATTTGCTTCCACTTTGTTATAATACCACTAACAGTTAACCGTGGAATATTTAGTAGCAAGGACATTTCACCGAACATCTGAATCCAATGATTTGGAGGGGTGTCCCAATACTTTTGACATAATAGTGTATATGTTGTGGTGTGTTCCACATGCCTTTGGAATTTTCTCAATGTATATTGTGAGTGCTACGCCATGTGCTAAATGCATGCACAGTGCACCTTACACATGGTGCTATTCATTCATATGGAATATGTGGTTGCTGAAAACTGCAATAAAACAAAGCAAGCAGGATTTCTAAAAATTCAGACACTTAAAAATGCATTGATTTAAAACTATGCTTTTGAAAATAAGTTTTTTTTTTTTTTTTTTTTCTATAACCACAATGGGTCAAAAGGGACAGCAATCATCTCTTTTTGTGGACACCTTAGAGCCTTCTTTAGACGTTTCGATAAGAAGGGTAGAACCTTTTTTGCAGTGTCTGTCCCCACCAGGGCTGTAGTTCCCATGGGGCGAGTGCTACCGCACACGTCTGTCGGGGGGGAACAATTTTCTGTTCTTACCTCAGGCGCAAAAGGAGCTAGCTACGGCTCTGGTACCCACTGGCAGATTTCCTTCTTTTCCTGTGCGAGTCACTGTGACAGGAAATTATGATATATTCCCCAATGGAGGCAGACTCCAGTAAAATCCTGAGGGGCGCTAACCTTTTTCTTTTTCTTTAGAAGAAATGTTCCTCTTTCAGAGATCAGTGTGAAGAAATAGGAACCATTTTGTCACTAGGAAGTCACATGAATATGGAATGGACCTTGGAGAAGGAACTGAGGAACCGTGTGCAAATAATTCTCTTCCTCTTTGCTTGAACAAGAACCACTGTTTGCGTAATGTTTAAAGGAAACTGTACTGAGAAAATATATTTGAGCTGCCATCGGTGGACTCTCCTTTAAAACATGCTCGTTTCCAGTGTGTTATGCTGATCCAAAAGCTTTAATAATAGTTTTGGGCGTGGAACAAATATCCAGATCAGAAGCTTGGAATTTTCTGGTACTTTACTACAAACCAGTGAGTGAGAAATTATTATTCGGAGTAAGGATTGTGAAGGCAGCCCCCATATTTCTCTCCGTAAGTTTCCTTTAATCTCCGTTTTTTTGTCACCAAGTTATTTGGGCATTTGGTGTGTGTGAAATAACTAACAAATGTTAACATAACACAGATGTAAAATAATTATTGACTGAATGGAAGCCGCAGAGTGCCACATACATGTTTGACCAACCAGTGTTGGGGCACATAGTGGTTGGCGATGGCAGCTTTCTTAGAACAATAGTTACTGTTTTCTCTGAGGATTGTACAGGGATGTTTTCCCACTGGCCTCCAGGCAACCTCCGTAGCCACGAATTTACACTTTTGGGCTGAGATTGCACGTTTTGGGATCATTTTTCAGAAAACACATCACTTTCATTGAAATTAAGTCTGTGGCTGGTTTTGCACAGGCAGAAGGCACACGTGTAAGTTTAAATGCCAATACATGGCCTTTCATTCAAAAAAGGTTATTTCACAGGATAGCTTATAATTTAAAGAATCATGTGTCCAGTTTGCACAACGTCCAGTATAGAGCTGCAGCTAATGATTCTATTCATAATTGATTAGTTGGCCGATTTATTTTTTTCGATTTAATCGGATAAAAAAATTACAATGTCATCCTAAATTTAAAATTAAATACACAAATGCAGTGTTACAAACCTAAAGTTTACTTCAGAATAAAACTGCAGACACATTTTTTTGCAATCGCACTGCACTGGAACGCACAGCCTTGCGGTAATGTGTGTTCTAGGGCAGGTGATCACACTGTGGATGGAAGGCACGTTTGGGGTGCCATTTAAATTAATGGCACTGCAATGCACCTCCCGCAGCAGAATTTGTCAGGCGGAAACCCCCCAAAAATGTTACCACCATTTTATAATTGTTTTTTTTTCCATCTCCTTCTTTGGGTTCTCTCCTGGTGGGTGTAGTCCTGTTAACTTTGCAGCTGCACAAAATGTTAATTCTTACTCCATGGTTAAGAATGAGACACCCACTTGCTCTTAGATTTGTAATTCATAGGCTATAATATTGCATTCATTATGTTTATATTGTTCTCTGCCTATCTACTGTTGTAGAGGAATGTGAGCCACTTACCCATGTTTACTATGTGTTAAACTTTAATAAAAATATTGAAACAGAAAATACTGTAGTAACAGGCTCCCCACCAGTGGTGCACTCACCTTTGCCTGTCGTTACAGACAAATGTTGGTAAATAGTACATGGACTAATTCAAAATGGCCAACAGAGTCCACATCTGTAGACACATTTAGTCTGTCCTTTTTCTTCTTTCTAGGGCTGCGCTCTAGTGGACAAAGCCATGTCACGTGACCACCTTGTCAGATCACTTTTGGACACTGAAAGTGTTCCCAGAGTGATTGGTGCCACCAGGCCGGGGACATAAAGCATCTATGTACACATGGCCCATCCTAAAATGCTATTGCAAAGGCACTCCCCAGTTTGAGAATCACTGTTTTATATACACTAGTGAAAGTGGAGATTACAACACTTGTAATATAGGTGTCATAGGCACATGCTTGTTAACATCCAGCAATAGGTATTTTGTAAGAAAAGTCACATCAAACATGTCCGTTCCTCCATTCAGAGTGGTAATCTGAGAGAGCTTTAGACCAAACATGTCTGCTTCTTCTTGGTGCTGGGTAGTGTCTGGTCCATCGGGAAGACCTGAACACTTCCTTATGGCACTTATGCATATATGTCTTTAAGATATAGTTTCACAGATGCTTTTCAGTCATAACAGATAAATCATATAAAAAATAATGAAACCATAAAAGTGCTCTACTCACACTGTTCAATGCCAGCATATGGAACACCGGTGTACAACAAAAACCCACCAGCCCTCCATAAAAATTGGACAAAGATGGTCGACATACAGCACCAGCTCCTTCACAAAACCTTCTATATTAAATCAAGGTATAAAACTAGTCATAACAAATGTGCTAACATGAGCTGATGCAAATGTTATTTAAAAAACCCAGCTACCTCTAAACCTGTATTTTCCAGTACTGTTTTATAGACATATAAAAAAAAGCATACATTACAAGATCGGTTCTCAAACAGCTTATCTCCTGTTGTGACAAGAAAGTCTGCGGTAGGGAAAGCAATTTTGTAAGGAACTGTTTTGAAGGCCGATTTTCTGCAATGAAAGAAATTCAGATGGTAACATGAAATCAGATGTATAAATAAAAATAATCTTTGCAGCAACCTTGATTTTTATATACTTTTTTAATGTTCTAGGTGGACCTTTTCCAGTTGCAAGTAAACACATTAAGAAGATATAAGAGGCATTTTAAACTACAAGCAAGGCCTGGCTTAAATAAAGCACAGCTTGTTGAAGTAAGTTTGCTGCTTGTGCTTTGGAAATGTGAAAGTATACTGAACGCTGCATAGTATATTTGTATTATTGATAGAATAGTCATCACATTGTTACTGACGTTTGTGTCATTACAGGCATATTTAACAGGTACCGTTACACAAAGTAATGTAAAATAACCCATATAAGCCAATCTAAGATTGCATTTATCTTTTAAATATACCGTATTTTTCGCTCCATAAGACACACTTTTTTCCCCCCAAAAGGAGGGGGAAAAAGTGCCTGCGTCTTATGGAGCGAATCCATCGAGATATGCAGTTCCGGGCGCCGGGCGAGTAGTAGGAGCCACTGCTCGTTTAATACGAGTGATCTAACGAGATCACTCGTATTAAAGCCGAGCAGCGGTGGCAATCGAGTTCAGCAGCAGGAGCCACTGCTCGTTTAATACGAGTGATCTAATGAGATCACTCGTATTAAAACTGAGCAGCGGCGACGATCCAGATAACCATAGAGCAGACGAAGAATAGATGTTCTTCGCCTGCTCTGTGTCATCACTGAGACCGTGGCGCTGTAATCACAGCGCCACCTGTCTCAGCGGTCACTAACTGCAGCTTCTGTCACAGCTTCTGTCATAGAAGCTGTCACAGAAGCTACAGTCTCGAGTGCTCCATAAGGCGCGCCGGACCTCCCTGCGTCCTATGGTCCGGTGCGTCTTATTGACCGCAAAATACGGTACTTTCACAGATCTGCAACTCCCTGACCTAAAGTAAGCCACGTTTCATGCTTAACGGTATACTATGGTCTGCTGCAGTATTTATATTACCTGGTGAAAGCCTCTTTAGGCCTGGTTCACACCTGGGCGTTTTACAGCGCGTTCCAACGCGCTGTAAAACGCTCAACATGTGAAAACCAATAATTGCCTATGGGCATGGTTCCCAACGAGGCGTTTTACATCGTGTAGGAACGTGCTGAAAAACGCCCTACGCCCAAAGAAGTACAGGAGCTTCTTTGGGGTGTTTTTCCACGCGTTTCCATTGGTATTCCCGAGTGTGGATCGGGGGTTAACAAAGCGGTAACCCAGAGGCACACTCGGGAATACAGCGTACAGGTCTTACCTTGCCCGCGATCCCCACTGTGTCCTCCGGCGGCTGCCGTGTTGAGTCCCTTGCCAGCGGCCGCGTTGCAGGGGGCTGAGCCGGCGGGAAGTTTGAAAGGGAAAAAAAAATCATACCGCCAGTGAAACGCGTGTTTTACTGAATAGAAAAACGTGCAAAAAAACGAGCTGAAAAAATACGCTTAGGTGTGAACCCAGCCTTACTCTGACCAGGCCTGTGCAGTTGAACCCTGTGGACTTCCATGGGCCATCGACCAAACCTGTAAACGCTCAGAGGTGGCTGGATAGTTGTTGGACTGGGGTTAAGAATACATTTGTGTCAGGCAAGGGTGGGCTGCTTGGGATCAGAGGGAGGCAGTAAGAATATGTGCACACATCCTTTAAAGAGAACCAGCCACTTTAAAGAATAACTTTCCTACAGTACAGTGTTCTAAAAACCATACATATTGCCAGAATTCACACTGAATAGTTCAAGAAGAAGGCTGTCACCATATTAGGAGGTCATCACTTAAGGAAATTCCACCCCCCTCTCTCCTCCTTCTGAGCCTAGTTCCCACACAGAGTGTGCACAGAGCATGTCCTATCAGCACACAAAGATCTGCCAGTGATCAATGCAAGCAGAAGGTAAAGGAGTTCTGCATATCTTTCATACAGTAGTGAAAAAAAGAAACTACACCTTCTTTGGATTCTATGGACACAATAAAAGCCATCTAGTCCTTTAGCAGGTTTTAAAATTAGGCAAATACAACCTCCGATGAACAGCAACACATGACATATCACATTGTGTCATTATTTATTTTACAAGCATGAAGTCATGTGTGGAAAACTAAGTACACCTTATGATTCAATAGCTTGTAGAACCACCTTTAGCAGCAATAACTTGAAGCAATCGATTTCTGTATGACTTTCAGTCCCCCACATTGATGTGGAGGAATTTTGGCCCACTCTTCTTTACAGCTTTGCTTCAGTTCATTGAGGTTTGCGGGCATTTGTCGGACAGATGGCCTCACATTTGACTCTACACTACTTTGGTACAGAGAGGAGATCATGGTTGACTCCATGACTGCAAGGTGCCCAGGTCCTGTGGCTGCAAAACAAGCCAAATCATCATCCCTCCACCACCGTTCTTGACAGTTGGTATGAGCTGTTTGTGCTGATATGCTTTGTTTGGTTTTTGCCAACCGTGGTGCTTTGTATTATAACCAAACATCGCCACTTTGGTCTTGTCTGTCTAAAGTACATTGTTCCAGAAGTCTTGTGGTTTGTTCAGATGCAACTTTGGAAACCTAGATGGTGCTGCCATGTTCTTTTTAGAGAGAAGAGGCTTTCTCCTGGCAACCCTTCCAAACAAACCACACATGTTCAGTTTTTCTAATTGTACTGTCCTGAACTTTAACATTCAACATGCTAACTGAGGCGTGTACAGTCTGAGATGTAACTCTTGTTTTTTTTTTGCAGTTTCTCTGAGCATTGCACAGTCTGACCTTGGGGTGAATTTGCTGGGACATCCACTCCTGGGAAGACTGGCTTGAATGTTTTTCACTTGTAAATAACCTTCCTCACTGCAGAATGATGGACTTTAAATTGTTTGGAAATGGCCCTATAACTCTTCCCAGATTGATGGGCAGCAACAATTGCTTCTCTAAGATCATTACTGATGTCTTTCCTCCTTGGCATTGTGATAACACTCTCCTTAATGCTCCAGACCAGCAAACTGCTAAAAGAGAGTTGGTCACACTTGCTGATGATTAATTAATTAAGGGCATTTGATTAGCATGAGCTCTTCGTTCCTATGGAAGCAGTAAGGGTTTACTTATTTGTTCACTCTTAACTACTCCATTTTGACTTTGTTGGTAAAAATACATCATGGCACATTGTAATATGTCATGTGTTGTTCATCTGAGGTTGTATTTACCTCATTTTAACACCTGCTAAGGATCAGATGATTTTTGATATGTCCATAGAATTTAAACAGGGAATACTTTCTTTTTCACACAACTGTGTGCTCTTATTTTTGTAATTTTATACAGGTTTGACAACAAACATCTCTTGCTCAATAGTGGATCTACAACCTTGATTGCTGCCTATCATACCTGTTTACTATAAAGATTATAGACGCTACCTACCATAGCTGTGTTTATAAAGCCTTTAGACCCTACCTATAATACTTGTATATTATAAAGCTTATATTCTAAATTAATCTAGCCAATGCTCAGGCTAAGGGTGGTCTGATCAAACTTAAATCCTAGCTGAAGAGTTTAGAGGCCTAAGGAGACATTTTACCTTGTGATAGTTTGGGGAATATAGCACAATGGTAAGCGCTAAATGACCACTCCTGAAGCCGATTTTAACATTAAAGGACGGTCTTTTTTCAACAAAAGGTCAACAAAACATGAACATCACAAAATAACTTGCTTTTCTTCAGCATAAACAAAGCATAACAGTTCATTGGACTCTCATTAACACATCATGTTTTGGTCTCACCGACATCTGGCTGTCCCATACACTCCCAGTGTTTTAGTCCCAGGACTTTCCCTGGATATACCATCCTCAGCAGCTTCCCTCAGCTCCAAGACTTCTGGTATTCACCCTCGCGGGTCACTGTCCCTCTCTGTATCCCCGACAGGTATCTCAAGAGTCACCAACCCTCTGGACCTCTCCATCCTTCCTGGCTGTGTCACCTTGTGCTCACGCACGCAGCAGAGTCTGCCTGTCGTCTTGTGCCTCTTTCACACCCACAACTCTCCCCTGAGCACTGGGCTGGCTTCCTAATAAGGCTGCTCTCTAGAGCTGCAGCTAACGATTATTTTCAAAATCAATTAGTTAGCCGATTATTACATTCGGTTAATCGGATAACAAATAAAATACATTTTAAAAAATGGCTCCAGTGAGGGGACTACTAGTTTGTACTGAGATTGTAGTCCATCACAGGAGCAAGCTTGGAGCGGTGGAAGTAAAAAAGAAAAAAAAAAAGTGTGGTGTGCAATATAGCTTAATGAAAAGTGTAAAATTATACAGCAATGTATGCAGAATGGAATCGGCTATAGAGGACTACAAAACCCATCAATAGTACATTATACAGCACAATGCAGAATACCACCAGCTATAGAGGAATACAACAAATCCCACCAATAGTACATTATAGCTGGCGGTATTCTGCATTGCGCTGTATAATGTACTATTGCTGGGTTTTGTAGTCCTCTATAGCTGGTGGTATTCTGCATTGCGCTGTATAATGTATTATTCCTTGATTTGTAGTCCTTTTATACAGCGCAATGCAGAATACCACCAGCTATAGAGGAATACAACATATCCCAGCAATACATTTATATATACAGTGTATTGCTGGGATTTGTATTCCTCTATAGCTGATGGTACATTGCTCTGTATAATATAGAGCACAATGTACCATCAGCTATAAAGGAATACAAATGCCAGCAATACATTATAGAGCACCATGTGTGGGAAAGCGCAGGCTTACCTGAGCAGTCTTCCAGCAACTTGCTTCTGAGATGGGGCCTGTCTATCGGCGGCTGTCATCCGCCCACACCTGCTCCTCCTTGTGCCGATCGTGGGTTTGGGCGGGCGGTGAGCATGAGGCGGGGAGGAGGTGCGGCGTGTGAAGCGTGGATGCAGGCGGGCAGGTCCAGCAGCGGTAGGGGTGAGGCGGGGAGGAGGTGCGGCGCGCAGTGTGTGTGGAGCCGTGAACAGTGCCAACCAATCGGAAGCCGATTAATCAATGATTGAAAAAGTTGACAACTTTTTCAATAATCGATTATGGCGATTAGTTGTTGCAGCCCTTCTGCTCTCAGCCACCTGATCAGCTCAACCTGGCCACTGGCAACACCTGGCCCCAGGACTGGAGATCCCATCCCACTATAGTCTGGAAGGGATTGAACAGCCAGTTCCTCCTCTCCAAAGGTATTCACATTGTGGAACCTCTCAGCCCCTCAGGCTGAGAGTCCTGGGCGCCAAAGTTGCTATACTACACCGTGGCATTGCCACAACCTATATTAAACAGAAAGTATAAACTCAAATGTAGCCAACTGTCTTTGAGCAGTTTCAATGTGGCTGTACTAATAACATTATTTTTGGTTGGTTATATTTTCTTAAAGCACGGCACGGGTAGAATGGTGCTACTAATTTTGTAGGTCCTGCGATAATTTGTGCAAATGTTTATCAAATCAATGTTAAACCGATAAAAATACACAATGAAATTAATAAAAGCAAACAAAAATCACTCGGTGCACAAAAAAATACCTTTCTGACTACATCTAAAAGATAAAACTGTATTGCGTTAATAAATAACAAATATTTGTACATTTTAAATTGCGCCTTTTTGCGAAATGGTAAAAAAAAAATGAAGTTATGCAAAACTGTAAACAAGCAACTTATGTTAAAGATCGTTTGTGCACTGTGTTGGTGTGTGTGCTGTGATAAAATGATGCAGGTGTACATTTAATTACAACATAGCGTATCACAACGCACGGTAATGCATCACAACGCTTCGCCATGCGCTGCCACACAGTTAAATTATTTTAAAAGAAAAAAATCAAGCACGGCGATGTGTTCTAACAATGCACTGCAGCGTGTGTGCATGGCATACATCACAATATGGTGCACACTGTTGCACGTGTATAATATGTGGGGGTGGGGGGTGTTTTTTAGTTTTTGTATTTCTTCTTTTTTACTGTCATCCCCTGACATTTCCCTTTTGAAATAGAAAAAGAAATTAAGGACACAGAGTCCTCAAGTTCTAAATGAATGGAAAGCAGTCAGTACAGAGGCTTCCCATTCATTCAGAAACTGGCCAGCCTGGAATTTTTGTTCATAGCTGTCATCAGCGGCTTGTCAGCCACTGATGGCAGCTAATAATTTAAAGGGGACTGTCAGGAGAGCCCTTCTGAGCTTATAGGAGAAGGGAGATAGCCACCGGTGTAAGGCTTACTTAGCTGGAATCGGTTGTGTTCCGCCGTGAGCCTTACGTCGGTGGCAGGGAAAGGGTTAAGTAACCTCTCCACCCCTATGAATGAGTGCAGCCCACATGCTAAAATACTTACCCGAGTTCTCCCGAATCTGGGCACGTACCCCACCCCCCATTACAGAAGTAACAAACACATTTATAAGGGGTCAAGTTGCTTTCATTTCTTGTTGTGGTGCTAGAAAGTGAGGGGAGATCTCCTCGATGGGGGTCACAGATAGCAATAAAACATGACAGTTCAAACCCTTCTGCACATTTCCCAAAACTAAAAAGCATTGTTTTGACTAGAGTTGGGCTTTAACAGTGCTCACTGAATCGGTTTATTGTCGAGGAAATAGAATCAACTAGAACAAGTGGGTTTCATTTTATTGGGAGCCTTTTTTTCTTATTGTTCAATATGAAATAAATCTTGTAGACAAGTCATTGTTATTCATTTCATCTGTCTATTCCTCTGTGTCAGATATACTCGTTTCATATTTCTTCATTTTGCCGTTTTGTTATTTAGATAATTGGCGGCCATTTTAGAACACTCCCTGTGAATGAAAAGGACACACTAACATATTTCATCTGCTCGGTGAAGAATGAAAAAAACAAAGCAGATCACAAATCTGACGGGGGACTCCACTAGAGAAAATGGACATTTTATGGACAGTTTGGGGATTGCTCGAGGCCTTGGAATGGAAGGACAGTTGTAAATAAAATTCAGTGTTATTTTAGTGATTTCTATGGAAAGGTTATTTGTTGTTTCATCTAAAAATGTATCTCTGCTTCTTAAGCCTGTGGTTGAAGGATGTCACTTTTCGTGACGTATAATCTGTCATAAACCTGGCTTATTTGACCCGGTAGTCAGCAGTGAAATACAACATTGATGGAACCAAACTTCCCAAAGGATGTTTATAATTTCAGTCTAGGACATGGCTTGGTGTCATGTAGGAATGGTTATGTGCCATCATGCCGTAAACACTTTATAGCTCCCTCTCTCATGCCACAGCTCTTTAACAATCCCTAGATAGCCGCTGGGAAGCTATGTAAAAATGTCCTTTAGAAGTCAGATCTACAATCCCTGTCTAGCACCTCTGTCCTAAATACAGTGACATCATCTTTCATTTTCCGACTGGCTGGATTTTTGGGTTTGTTTTTGACTGTTTACTTTTAGAGCTGAGCACTGTGAGCTATCAGCCAACAAATACAAAAATCATTCCAGTCAGTTGAGAAAGGAAGGGTATATCTGGACAGACTTTTTTTTTTTTTACACAGCTTTTCACTGCTGCTATCTAAAGATTGCTGCAACGGAAACAGTAAGAAGCTTACAACAGCCTCTGTACACAGGTACCGTTAGACTGGACAGCAAAAACAAAGAATAGCAAGGGTCACATATTAAAACAGGTTTTATATTTCATTTTCTGACCTCTTGTAGCACTTTTTATATATTAGGCCCTCCTATATTTTACAGTATATACAGTGGTAAAAGGCTGTGTCCAGTCAGACACATTGGCAGAGGAGTTATAGATGTATAAAGATGTATCAAAAATACTTATTTCCAAAAGGATCTTTTGAAAACTATTACTTTTTAGTTGGTTTAACATAAAGTATGACTTTTTCTGAAAAACGTTATCTGACCAAAACATTTTTATTTTCCAATAACCAGGTGACCTTAATCTCAGCTATGAGTCGGACCTGCACTATGAATTTTATGTAGATGAGATGTCTTGCAATGTATACTGTAGTGCCGACTGCCACCTGAGAGTGAGGCCAGCTATTTCTTTGGAAAGGGCTAGTTATGTATAATGGAAAATATAACTTATTTTAACCTGATTGATGACTATAGGAGTATATTGAAATATGGATAGACCCAATACTAGGCTGCTTCACTATGGCAGCCTAGGGATGTTGTAGAGCTGCGTTTTCAGCACATGAAATGTGGCCCAATATTTTATACATTTGTTTTGACCCTGCTGCTATGAAGCCCTTGGCTTTAAGACATGCCCTTCGTCTCCAAAAGTTTTTAAATAAGTTCTCTATGTATGCATAGAGAACAATTGTAGGAACTCTTGGTCCTATATCTTCATCGTACCAATATCCTTAATATGTGTACCCCATAGTGAAGCTGATATATGAAAACTCAAGCAAAAGGTAGGCGTGCTTAAAGACCTAACTGAGAGTTATTGGCAACTACTGCATGTATGCTCTGTTTTCATAAATCATCAGCAGCAAGGTTTGCTTCTAGGCAGTGTTTGGCACAATCATTTTATATATGGTGGTGACAAGCTTTGTGCTAATATAAATGGAAAGGGGTTTAGTGTGAAAGAGAGAAAATGCCACCTGGTGTGGTCTTACTTTAAAAAGGCATGGAACAGTATCCCATAGCAACCATGAGACCTCATCTTTCATTTAGTTGACTGCACTTAACTGCTGAAATCTTACTGGTTGCTCTGGGTAACCGCACATCATGGTCTCTTTAATATTTCTGGGCAGAAAGTAACAAAGGTGCGTCATGTGCAGTAACCTACAGCAGCCAATCAGGAGTTATCTGACTACTGCAAACTGAAATCTGATTGGTTCCTGTGAGTCCCTGTGCTCTGCACATATTCACTACCTTATTAAACGAGTTAATTTGCTTATAGATGCGGCACGTGCTTGCTGCGCTTTTCACTGTACATGTACAAATATATATTTAGGTGGTGGAAATTTAGGATGACATACACTCCTCTGCACTATCTGTTTCAAATGCTGACAAAATATACATTTAAAGAATACTCTTTGTGCATATCCTATTATCGATGTTACTCCGTGACTCATTTGAACAAGTGGCGCTTGAATACATTTGCTTTCTATAGTTTAGGACTCCATTTTGTGTATAGCATGTATTAATGCTATAGGTTGCACAGACTCTCATATCATATGATAGCCTTTAGAATTTGCACTTTCCTTTTCTGGGGATTTTTGTCTCTTAAATATTGTTGTCATGTATGGATTAATGTTAGTGATTTAAATCCCTGGATCAACCTGAATGTACAATATTGTCATGGCTTTAATAAAAAAATTGAGAAAATTGTGTTATTGATCTTTGCTTTGTGGTGTTAAATCAATTTCTACATACACCCCTTTCAAACCATTGTGTTATGGACGTTAGTACATTGCGGCACCATTAATTTTGGATGGCACTTTAAGAAACCTCCATAAAGCACCTGCGTTGCAATGCAGTAACACTACACTGTGCATTGTGGTGCACCCGCACCAGAAAAAATATGCACGTATGTTTTTATGTTTGGTGCATTGATAGATTATGCAAATTAATAATTTAACTTAACACAACACACCGTAGTATGCAGGCATGAAGCCAGCCTGAGGGGCATATCAACTAAAGCTGGAGAAAAGATGAACATGAAGATGCCATTGTTGTCAATATCAATCAATCAGGTTTCACTTTTTTATATAAATCATTAACTAAAGCTACTGATTTGTTATAAGCAACACCTCCAAAGTTGTGTTTATGTTCCCCAGTTTCAATAAGGTGCCCCCAGTAGGTTTTTGCAAGTTTTAGTAACTATGACAGTCAAATAAAATTGACATCTTGAGGGTTTTCCACAACTGTTCAGATTTATCTGAAAATAATGTGAGTGTGATACCACTTATTAGTGATGAGCTGTTTTTATTTTCATTTTTTAACATTAACTAAAGAAAATCTTTACTGGGACAATTACAGAGGCTGCAATTGCTGAACTACTTGTAAAAATGCTAGTTACCTGGCTGTCTGAGTCAGATTAGCATCCAGATCACAAAACTTATATTCAGCAGACTCTTTCTGGGTTAGTGACTCGGAGCATACTCGAGGCCTTGATTCAGGCAATTGTCAAGCAACTAACATTTTCAGAAGAACAGGGCAGCAATGGCAGCCCCCAAACCTCAGGTTTCTTTTATAATCTTTAATGTCACGCCCCCTCCTCCTCCTCATAAGTTTATATGTTGAACAGGGACATATTTCTGGCTCTTGATTTATAATAGCTTATCATAAAAAGGAGCAGTCAGTAAGGGAATACAACTCTTCTAATGTATTAACAGTGACCCATTTAAAGGGTTATTAAACCCTCTGGTGTTTTTGCATATATCTACTGCTAGTAAGCAGTAGATTTATGCAAAAAGTGTGAAAAAAACGCTTCAAAAACGGTTTAAACTTACGTGTGTCTTCCATGCGCGCTCCTGTACGAAAATTTTCGGCCGGCCGCAAAGCATTTTGGGGCGGGCGCATGCTCAGTTCACATTTTAGGCTGGGAGACGAGGAGAGACACAAGGTAAGTCTATGGACGCTTGCACCCGCATGCAGACACCGTGGGACAGGAAGTGTCAGCAAGGACAGAGGAGTCAGCGCTGGATCGGAGACCCACAGCAGCACTGGAGGGACAGATGAAAAGGACTGGGAAGAAGAAGATCGAATTAAGAAACATAATTTAAGGTAAGTGCTGACATTAACTCGGGGGGGCAGTGTGAAACAAAGTTTTTTTCAGTTAGGTGATCCAACGAAACTCAATAGTATAAGGTGATACCTTTAAAATGCCCATACTATGAAGCTTAAAGTCCAACTAAAATGGCCTGGATGGGAAGGGGGTTTAACACCGCGGATGTCAACTGGTTAAAGGAGACACCTATCAACTGCCTCCTCCCAGCAAATCAGTTATTCGTGCGGGTGGAAGTCTAGCTCCCACTGAACTTCTGTGCACACTCCAGTTATAGCACTGCAGGTTCCATAGACTTTATTAATGTGTAGCGGATACTCCTAGAGGGCGCTGTGACAGAAAAAAAAGTAAACCCACTCACTGCAAGCAGTGACACATGTGCTTGTGTGCACTCCTCTGCATCTCTCACACTGTGAATCACACTGTGAATCCAGGCTGCTCCTCGTAAGGTCCAGGATCTGTCCTCCTTGCTGCCTTGCAGTGACCTGGTCACAGATGGCAATTTAACCCTTACTGCTTTGACCATGGTCAGTAAATATCAATTTGGTTTTTTTCCCTTACTTGTCATACTGTTGGTATGATGGTTCATAAGCGCAGGGGAAGAGGTTTGGTGGGCCTTTCCATCTCATAATCCTATAACAGCTCAGGGGTAGCTAGCAGTGCTCCTTCCTTAGGGCCTGACAAAGCTAGACTTTCCTCTGTTGAGTCCTAACACTTCTCTGGGTCTTCCTTAACTCCCTCAGATGTGGGCCCCCTCCACAGTACTATCCAGAGAGCAATTTTCCAACACCATGGCAGACTTTATGGGAATTTTTCTAACGTTTTGTAGAAGCCCTTCCCAATGCCTTATTTTACTTAGTGGGCACTGCCCTGCAACATTTCATTGTGGTTATGTCTGTCTGCCAGGTCTGGTCCAAGGATATGTCTAAGGATCCTGGTTCTATCCTAACTGATTTTCCAGTCGGGCCGGCCGTTTTTTTACTACGGCCGGCCCAGAGGTGGTTAATCCTGATTTGGAGCTTAATTGTTGGTCTGCAAAACATTAGTATAGTTCAATCTGATCTATGTATTTTTTCTCTGGAACATCACCTCATCTGCTTTGCAGAATCCAGTCAGGTTGGATCCTGGTGATGCTCATTGCACTGAACTGGCCCAAGGTGGATGTGGTACTGGGACTCATCAGACCTTTAGGCAGATTCCCTGTGGACTCTCCTGGATCACCCAAATCTACTGTCCCAAGGACCAGTTTACCATCCTTTCTTCACAGCTGCTGTCTAAATAGCTACTGTATCCCTATACTTCTGAAAGATGATAAATCCACTTCTCGTAAGGTCTGCCATCGAATTTGAAGTGAAAAGTTACAAAAAAGAAGTCCAATGTTTTTAGTGCTCTCCAGGAGGGTCAGGGTGTAGTCCGCTGGTGTGCAGCTCCTGGTAGTCTGCAAAACATTAGTGAAAATAATTCTTATTGTCTATAGCTCCTTGGCACATCCGTAGACAATTTTATCAGAGATGTCATTGGATGGAGGAGCCCTCTTTTGCCCAGCAAAAGAAGACTAATCCTCTTGCTGGGAAACCCTTTACCTGATGCTAAGAAGGGTTTCTTTTTGTTCCTTGCAGACCTCAAGATCAAAGTTCAAACCTGGGACTCCCTTCCCCTGCAAGCCTTGGAGCCCCAAATCCTCCAAGCCCGCAAGAAAGTCCTCAATGAAGGAATGCCCCAACTTGCCAGAGTGGAGGGGACATCTGTTAGTCTTTGCAGCCACCTAGCGGACCTTCATGCTCATAGCCATTGTTTCTATGATAAAGATGATAAATCCACTTCTCGTAAGGTCTGCCATCGAATTTGAAGTGAAAAGTTACAAAAAAGAAGTCCAATGTTTTTAGTGCTCTCCAGGAGGGTCAGGGTGTAGTCCGCTGGTGTGCAGCTCCTGGTAAGTACAGACCGGGGTGTCTGACATGTGTGCTAAAGGAAACAAAAAGAGAAAAAAAAACAAAGCGCTACAACCTAGCGCAATAACTTGGGTGTAAATGGGACAAGGAGTACATACAATAATACACTCACATGTGAGAGGGTGGACATGAGCTTCAACAAGGAATTATTACGGAAATTATATTATTGTTGTGGTGTTAATCTTTTCGTGCTGGCCTGAGGCTTCTCTGGCTCACGTAATGAGAGATGGGGCAGCGGGGTCGGCAGCAAGACAGAAAGTGTTGTGATAGTGGTATGAGTAAATCCAAATATGGAAAATGAAGCCCTTCATCCTTGATGAAGTTGCTGTCCCATTTTGTGAGTGGAGGTATGCTGGTGATCAAAGTGGAGTCGAATCTTCTTTCTGGTCCCAAGTAGATGTTGAGGGTGGGTTGTCATCGGGAGCCCAGGGCTGGATCAGTCTTTTTCAGGTCTCCACGGGCGCAGGTGGAGCAACACTAAAGGTGTTCACAATTGAGCTGATGTTCCTTTGAATATCCGGGCAGATATTGCGGATTAATAATTTTGGTATGTGCAAAGTTTTGCCTGGGGTCTCAAGGTGCTAGGCGATTACTGGGATTGGTTTGATGAATTGTCCACCTGTGCAGAGCACGGCGATAAGGTGGCTATGCAACGGTGTGTGCTGCTGGAAGGACAGGGAAGGGAGGTTGGGAGAGTGTCAGCAGTAGCTGATTTCAAGTGTCAAACTGTCACCGTGAGAAGGATCGGGGGAGCCGAAGTGGCGGGGCATGCTCAGGGTGCACAGTAGCCGTGTGTACAAGTTAACACAGCCACCCACAGGGAGGAGAGGTGGAGGCAGGAGTGCACTGCTGGATGACCAGGGAGGTAGGTCAGGAGGGTGTCAGCAGCTGGTAAAGGCTAATCGCTGAGACCAAATGCACGTGGAATGTCTGCGGTATGTAACCACTGTGTGGGGAGGTATCGAGGCTAGGCGACGTGTTTTGAAGTTACAACTTCTTTTTCAAGCCTGTTGATTGGGAGAGTGGTTGGTTGTGGTGGGAGAGATTTTAAAGAACCACATGTCTCATGGTAGGAGGTGAGGAATTACTCCATTTGTCCTTGATTAACCTTAGACCTTACGTACCATCAAGGGTCAAATCACAGTCTTAGCAGTTCTTGCCTTTTATTCCTTATTGAAATCTTTTATTTCAGGGTGTTGCTCTTATGTGTCAGCCCGTTCCCCTCTGAGTGCTCAGCCCGGTGCTGATGATTCTTCAGAAACCACCACCTTTGAATCCATCAGTGATATTATCTAATAATTAAAAACATATTTCTTACCTTTTACATGTGTCTGTGTAGCAGACCTTTGCAATCTTCTCTCTCAATTACAAAATGACAGGAGACTCTGGTTGTCATGATAGAAAGACTAGGGACACTCTGAGCTTCCCCTCATTAACATACAATGCTTCTAGATCTTTAACTCTTTGTTGGGCTAGACAGTGTCTAAATCTAGTTTACAACTGATAATGAGATCTGCCAGCACAGTACAGACATGGTTAATTATGGTAACATTACCCTGCACAGCCCCCTTGCATTACAAAGGAAAATTCAGTACAGACACAAACTTTTGTTTTCAGAATAGCGTATATATTGTGCAAGCAGTAATTTGTATGCTATGTAAATGATAACATGTAACAAATATAAGATAGGTGTTATGCCAATGTGGCTGCAAAAGTGGAAATACAAGACTGATTATGAAAACTGAGTTTTTGATTTGCCGTGAAATTCATTAACGGACACAGTTTCCATCACTTTGTCTTATGATCCATTCTATTGCTTTTCCACAAAACTGGTGCATGATGAGTGTGGGAGGGGTTATACTTAGGGCCAGATTTACTCTCTCTGCCGCCCCAAGGCCGACTTCCAATGTGCCCCCCTCCCCGAAAATGCCCCCCCTCCCCCCCAATGTAAAAAGTGTTATTGTTTGTTTTTTTTTTTTTCATTTTTTATAACTTTTTTTTCATTTTATATTTATTGTTTTAACTTTTTATTTATCTTATCTTTTACTTTTTTATTATTTTTTCATTGTGTTTTACTTATTTTTTTATAATTGAAAAAAAATTCTTTTAAATTTTGATTGCTATCACACAGGAGCTAACAATCCCCTATGTGATACCATTTGGAGGTGACAGGTTCTCTTTATTGTACCTGTCACTTTCAATACAGGAATTTTAGCACAATACTGTTCTGGAACTCCTGTGACAGCTGTGAGGGGAAGGCTGCGAGTGCAGCTCTCCCCTCTCACTGTTTACACGGAGCAGAGCGGAGAACGGACTCCATCCTGAAGAGAGGATCTCCAGCGGGCGGGGAGAGAGGTACAAGGCAGCGGCGAGAGGACGGACCTGCAGTCTTATTACAAGTGATCTTGGCGACATCGCCAAGATCACTTGTAAACGAACAAGCGTCTTCCCCACTCTACATTTAGCCCTGCTTGCCCAAAGCAGAGCTAAAGGTAGAAAGCAACTACCCACCCGGTGCCCGCAACTTTTTGTAACGGGCATCGGAGATTCCACAACCCCTGCTGCCCCTCTGCTCCCTGCTGCCCCGAGGCCGGGCCTCGGTGGCAAATCCGGCACTGGTTATACTCACAGCTCTGTGTGGCAGTGTCCTATTTTCTGCAGGCAACAGCATAACCCAGTTTTTCTAAGATTTAATCTGTACTGTGTTCTTACTGTACTCCAAGAAACAGATTTTACAGTAAGTCAAAAACCCATTTTTACAGAGCCCAGTAGTTCAAGGTAAAATTTATACATATATATATACAATATATAAATGCCACCCTTGCTGAACTCCCCTCATAAAATGCAATCCTTCTAGCTGCTATGCTAATTTAAAGGCTTCAGTACTTTCTACTATCTACTACTTACAACTCTGCTACTCTAATTTGAATAGGAGGTTAGCAATGATAGGCTCTGTATTTCTTTTAGTGTAAGTTTTGCCTAATAACTATTGTTAACTTCCACATAACATTTATCAGCATGGCTGGAAAAAAATCATGTAAGCCTTTAAAGCTGCAATGGAATCAGCAAGCCAATATAGCAAAGGGTTTTTTTTTCTATCCTTTTAACTGAAGGATTTTTATTAGAATGGGTCTAGAAGCATGTCGGTTTCTTTCTATACTACATTTATAATGTAAGTACCAATATAGCACAAACCAGCCTTGACACAGTTTTTCTTTCTTGGGAATAAAAATCTCATTAATTTTAGCAGCTCTGTTACAAAAATGTGAAAGTGCAGATAGATTTAGCCTTAATCATACATTTAATGATTCATCCAGAAGGATAGTATGAGTAAAACACAGAACAACTTTTTGTGGCCTGTCATTATAATCATTATAGTGTGGTGTAAAATGAATAAGAAGGGGACAGATGGATCGTTCCGTTGGGGAAAATACAAAGTAACAAAGAGGGGGAGCTATTTTATTGGAAAACTTCACATTTTCTGTACCAGCCATTCTCTTCGTCTTGCACAATGTAGCTTTGTTTATCAGTGGGAGGTACAAGGAATCACAAAGGAAATCTTCGGCCCAAAGAAAATCTCTCTGTAAAACAAGAAACAGTGTAAGTTCACCTTCTGCAGAGGCTTCTGGGACGATAATAGTATTGCCCTGATGTGCCACGGATGTGATTTATTAATGGAATTGGAAGTTGTTGATGCTTTTGAGAACAGCATTTTGGCACCTTGAAAACACAGTAGACAGCACATTAATACATGAAGGCTTCTCTCTGAACATGTTCACAAGCTGATGCTTCAGAGAGAAGGAACAGAAGCATCATTGTGAGAGTATAATAGCACTTCAGTTGTGCTCTCACATCCAAATAGCCTGGTTGTAACTGCCAATACATGGGAATAACAGAGCCCCTACTAAGTCTCTTTGCCAGCTCTGTGTCTGCAAGCTGTACTCTGCATTCCCCATAGTGCATCCCCACATTGGCATTTCTCCTCTGTATATACCCTGTGTATAGTTACTAACTTTCAAAAACTATTTTAAAGGACATTTTGCTGCTGAGCTGGTTTTGGATTGTCCCCAATACACCATTGCCTCAGGTGTAGTAAATTTGATCTATTTTTGATCTTATTGCTAATATGGCCCATAGGTAAGTAAGATTTCAAATGATGCTCTTTATCATCCATTGACTGAAAATGCCCAAAGGAACATTTACGGAGTATAAAAACTGATCAGCACACACATGGTTTTGGTCTCAATCCCTCCTCGATGTCCACAGTGCTCCAGAAATTACCTTTGCAGATGTAAATTCACTATGCACTGTGGGATGCTGGATGGAGGCAGAACCATATGCTACAAGCAAGTTATAGGTGACTGTAGAGCTTTCTTAGGCTCTGTAGATGTGGCAGATGGATCAAAAATAAATATCTTGCGGAAGCAGAAAAACGTACAAGATATGTTCCAACAGTAGGAAAATTAAAAGAAAAGCAGCTTGCTGTTGATTAAGCTTTGCAATACTTACCTTTAGTCTGGTACAGTCTCTTCCAGAAAGTAAGGTTGTCCCCTAGATGGCGCTCCTTTTCCAGGTCGAATGATGGCCAGCGTCATTCAACCCACTTCCTGTCAGCTCAGGTTGTCAGAAGACAGGGGTTAAATACTGGATTTCTGCTTTGAAGTTGAAGATGTGCTTTAAAGAAGAAATCCACCATGGTGGAGGGTGCAATACCCTGCTGGATGTTCACCCTTGCTGGCCATGGGATATTGGGTTGATAAAAGAGTAGCACTGTCCAACTGAACCGCTTCTCATTGTTGCAGATAAAGTGCGATTGGTATTGTACAGTTAGTCATAATACAGAAACTCAGGAAATTTACGCAAACAAACTGGACACAAAGAAAGAAAGGACATTTACACAAACAAGCTTCAGTAACAAGCCATTAAAATCTGGGAGTATCTCTAGAAGATAGAAACTGCCAACTATGTCATGCTAATAAAAAATGTATATTCAAGTATTCAAGAGATGAAACAAAGAATATGATGGCATATATAGTAAAAATACCTTTTTGTATCTATTTTAATTTGCATAAAAAGTAAGGGCATTATTCACTAAGCTGCCAAAGGGAGCCGAATGAATAACCGAGCCGAAGTGAAGTGAGCCGAAGCATGTTCGGCTATTCACTGCAGCCGTGTACAGCTTTACTTTGCTTTACATCGGCTGCATTCAGCTCACTTCACCTCCCTTCGGCTCGGCCAAACAACCTCAGCATGTTCGACCAAACCAAAGGGAAGAGCCCGTTCGCCTTAGCCGATGCAACATATTGATCGGCTGAAGCGATTAACGTTAGGCAATTCACTCTTGTTTGGCCCCTTGTAGAATAGGAGTGAACAGCAGAGAAGGAACTGCCAAATGTTCGCTTCAGCTGATTCAGATGCAGGGAAGTGAGAGGCACACTATAGCCTGCACCCAGAGTGTGAATTTACTGCAGCAGAAGTCAGAATAGAGCGGTGAGTCTTTGGAGCTCTTTTGAACAGTAGAAGTATGTGTTACACATGTAAGTCAGCAAAAAAATCGGGTTGTTTTGGATTTTTTGTTATATCGGGATTTGGGTCCGAATTTTGGATGCATTAGACAATTATGAATTAATTTTCGTTGCAGCAAAGTTACATTAGAAAAAACATTGACATTTTTAATTTTAGCTTTTGATAGTCCACAGAAACAATAAAAAAAGTGTTTTGCCCCCCCCAATTTTATACCAGACCCTTTTAGGTTAGATAAGAACCCTGCCTGGAGACACCCACAACCACCGGGCCAGGGTTGTAGAGAAGAGGCCCTTGTCCTCAATGACATGGGGACAAGGTGCTTTTCTTGGGTGATCCCCCTTGGCAAAGCACCCTCCACATGTTGAGGGCATATGGCCTGGTATGGTGCAGGGGGTGGGGCACCCACTCGTCCTGCTCTGCCAGGCTGCTGCTCAGATTAAAGGTCTGGAAAGGAGTTTTAGTGGGGACCCTACGCATTTTTTTTTTTTACTTTAACGTTTAACATTACAAATTCGATTCCAAATGACATTCAGAAAAAAAATTGGATGCATCTGAAATCTTTGTTATCAAAAATTCAGATACGTTCGGATTCATTATTGTTTCAATTGCACAGGTCTAGTGTGTGTCCATTGTGTTAGGCCAAAGGAAAAGGTTAGGTTGAGGAGTTGAGAGGTAGCTAAGGTGTTAACATTATCAGGGATGTGAAAGTCACCAAGGATGATAGTGGATATATTATAGGAGAGAAAGTAGGGTAGCTAGGCAGAGAATCATCAAGGAAGTGTGTTACCAATCCCAGAGGCCGGTAAATCACAGAAATCCTGAAAGAAACTGGAGAAAACAGAGAAACGGAGGAAACTGCTATCTTTGAAGGATGGATTAGAAATGGAATGTAATCATCTGCATAGTTGTTATGGGCAAAACAGTTTTCTTAGATATTTGTTTTTATTAATCCTTGAAGAAAAAAAGAATGATATAACAAACTGTACAACCAAAATGTATCAACATTACAAAGTATATATAACGGTACCTGGAAATAGATACATGAGGTGCCTTGTTAATGTTACTTTTTATATCTATCCAGCATTTTTTTCATATGCAATAGTACAGTTCAGAATATCTAAGCAATTTTCAATGATATTTTATTGTTGGATATAAAATGGAAATTAGCTTAGCTAATGTAGGATTGTACAGAGCTGATTAATATTACATGAAGGTTGTCAGCTGCTACTAAAATTACTTTTATCAAACTGTGAAACTTGCATACGCTGGTTGCAATACAATGTCATTATCTTTAGCATTTTCAGCTGGTTTTATTTTATGTTATCACACCCACAAACAGAAATGATAATTTCTCCAACAGGTATTTTAGTGTTTTGCTTTCTACAAGTAGTAAAAAGACATTCATTTGAGCTGCTATGGTGACAGAATGAGAATATCTCAACCTGCCGTATGCAGCTTATTAGAAATCTATATAAAATGTTACATTGCCTCACTGTATATAATAACCAAGGTCATTACTGCTGAATTGTGTCAAGGAAGGTTTTGCTCCAGGCTTTGTGTGACCAATTATTCAAGTTGGAATAACCTAAATGTCTTTTCTGGGGGAAGACAACAAGTGAGAAAAACTACATTTTCTGACATGTAGAAATGATACAGGGCCAGCTAGTACAAAAAGTTGTGGTTTCCGGGCTACTGAACTAGATGCATCATTCAGTGCTTTCCATGTGGAGCAGGCAAAGACTAAACATCTGCCAGATATTAAATCATGTCCTTGATATTGTGTATGTGGGAACAACAGCAACTCAGTCACAAAGTGGTAGGCCACATAAAATGACAGAGCAGGGTCAGCGCATGCTGAAGCGCACAGTGCGCAGAAGTCGCCAACTGTCTGCAGAGTCAATAGCTACAGATTTCCAAACTTCGTGTGGCCTTCAGATTGGCACAGCAACAGTGTGTAGAGAGCTTCACGGAATGGGTTTCCATGGCCGAGCAGCTGAATCCACGCCTTACATCATCAAGTGCAATGCAAAACGTCGAATGCAGGGTTGTAATGCATGCCACCACTGGACTCTAGAGAAGTGGAGACGTGTTCTCTGGAGTGACAAATCACGCTTCTCTGTCTGGCAATCTGATGGAGGTGTCTGGGTTTGGTGGTTGCCAGGAGAACAGTGCTTGCCTGACTGCATTGTGCCAAGTGTAAAGTTTGGTGGAGGGGGGATTATGGTATGGGGTTGTTTATCAGGTGTTGGGCTTGGCCCCTTAGTTCCAGTAAAGGTAACTCTTAAGGCATCAGCATACCAAGACATTTTGGACAATTCCATGCTCCCAACTTTGTGTGAACAGTTTGGACATGACCCCTTCCTGTTCCAACATGATTGCGCACCATTGCACAAATCAAGGTCCATAAAGACATGGAGGAGTGAGTTTGGGGTGGAGAACTTGACTGGCCTGCACAGAGACCTGACCTCAACCTGATAGAACACCTTTGGGATGAATTAGAGCCGAGACTGTGAGCCAGGCCTTCTCGTCCAACATCACTACCTGACCTCACAAATGCGCTTCTGGATAAAAAAAGGTCAAACATTACCGTGTGTCAGATTTGGCTTTTTTTTGTGTCAAACCAATACAAACAAAAATAAATAAACATGAGAATGCCAAAACATTAGTAATTGCAATGATTTTCTGCGCATTCCTTTTACGCTTATGATCATTGGCTTTCGTGTAAGTACATTTTCACTTGCGTGTTGTACTCATCAAATAAAAGTTTTACACAATGGAGGCGCTCTGTGTTGCTTTTGTTTCCCAGTAAGTACATTACTGAAATGCTTTTATTAATGCCCTGCTGGTACTTTATTTTCCATTTACAAAATTAGGGTAGGACAGGTGACTAAGGAGGAACCTCTGCAGCCATTTAGAGTTCACTCTTCAGGCTGGTGGTGGGTACCATCACCAGGCTACCTACTGTGCTGGTCATGACCAAAAGCCTAGACATGTGGGCTGCTGAAGTGAAAGTGACAGTAAACTCAGTAGTTAAATCTTAAAGTAGCACTAAAGGCATGGTGTTTTTTACCTTAATTCTTTTTCTGCATTAAGGTAAAAAAAAACGCCCAGTACCTTTCCCCCCACACTTGCATGTGGTTCCTTGTCTCCTCCACCGGGTCAGGGAATTAGTGTAGAATGTGCTCTGATTTGGGGGTGCCTTAAATTACTGATGAACAACCGAATCTTAAATAAGTGTTGGGCTTATTTACAAATAGGGATATACATACATATTACAATTAAGGGAATTTGAAAGGGGAATTGGGGATAGGAATTGAGGTTAAGGATCCTACAGCTAGCTACACCATTCTCTCCCTCTCATTCACACAAGCCATGGGTTTTTCTCTGTTCTTCGGACACGCCTCTCCAGCAGGTCTCAGCGAATCACATTCTTGATTGCAGAGTTCAGAAAGACTTGTCTTGTCCAAAGGTCTTGCTTGTCAGCTAGGTTAGTGTCACACAGGAAGAAGGTTCCATCACATGCCCCTGCCCCATCCCAGCATATATGCCTCGCTGACACAGGTGAGGGCAGTAAATACCAGCAGGGGGTCGGGCTTGCCCCAGGACATGACAGTCCAGCAGATCTCCTTTGATCAGTGTCCAGCCCCAAGAACCCTTTGATGGTCTTCATTTGCATATCAAACAGCA